CGACGAGGCGGCCGAGGCGCTGGGCAGCGCGGACGGCGAGCTGAGCGCCAAGCTGCTGCGGCGCGCCGACCTCAACCAGGGCATCGGCGAGCCCCAGTCGCCCAGCCGCCGCGTCTTCAACCCCTACACCGAGTTCAAGGAGTTCTCCAGGAAGCAGATCAAGGACATGGAGAAGATGTTCAAGCAGTGAGTGCCCGCCCGACCCGGCCCCCCCACCCACCCCGCGCGCCGGCCTCGGGCCCCGAACCCCCGAACCCCGCGCCTCCCGGGACCCCTGCGGCCAATCGTGCGCCCCCGAGCCCCGACACACCAGGGCTGGCGACCCCGCGTCCCCTTTCATTTAATCACGAGGCTTCAAGACCTCCTCCCCACCACGCGTGTGAGTCTGGCGACCCCCAGCCCCTGACACGCGACCCCTCCTCACGGTGACGCGGCCGCCAGTACACCATACGCGCGCACTCGGTGTGGAGGACCGCGCGGCCCCTCCAGGTAACCCCGCGTCCCCGCGAGTCCCCACTACCACCATACACATGAGTCTGAAGATTCTGGGGCTCTGGCCTCGGACCCCTGTGTTAGTGAAGCTTTCCTCGCCACCCCCCAGACACCCACGCACCCTGAGATTTGAGGACCCCGTGGCCTCCCTTTCCCCCTCCCTAGCTACTCGAATTCCCTACCCCCACACCCAACACCCTGGTCAAAAACATCCACACACACCCCCAGCGCCTCAACAAAGGTTACCATTCCCTGCACCCCATGCTGTACCCATTCTTTTTATTGGGGTCCTTTCATTTCCTCTGCTTATCTCAGATTCCCCTCAACATGGGTTCTGGGCAAAGACCCCCCCCCTTCAGTTATTCAGCATCTGCTAGCAAACTGTGGTCAAAGACCCACCAGACCCTTCCACCCCTACCCCTATCCACTCTGCTAGCCAGGACCCCAATCCTTGACCCTCCGGTGGTCTCCTAGGGATCCCTCCATCCCTGCCCCTCACTCTGCAGGTATGTACCATCCATCCTCCCTTCAGGGCTGAGTCCCCTCCTCCCTCCACACACTGTTCCTCCCTCCTCTTGCCCTGACCTCCCCCCTCAGCAGCTTTGCAGTCACTGCCTTCCCCCACTGTGTGCCCCCTTTCCTCCCACATGGGGTTCCTGACACCCCACACCTCCCTATCTAATTTGCCTGGTTGCCCTCACCCCTACCTTTTCCTCTATGTAATTCCATACACTGTGCCCTTAGCAGGTTGGACAGACACCCCCAGGCCTGTGGCTCAGCCCTCCCCGCCCCAGCCCACCCCCCAAAAAAACTTAAAATCTCTGTGAAGGGACTAAATGGTCCCCTTCTGGTCCATCCCTGAGTCCACCCAGTTGAGACTGAGATGGACAGCCAAACTCTTCACAACCACGGTTGTGCAGGGGGCGGGCTGGGGGGGGTTTGTAAATGCTCGCAGCCCCCTTCCCTTTAGTACCCTTCCACACTTCTTGTTGCCCATCCCCTTGCCCCTGGCCCCTGGAGGGGGAACAGCCCAGGGGTATGGTCTGGAGTGGAGAGGCGCTGGCCCACCTTGGCTGAGGCAGGAGGACAGGGCAGGATGGGGCTGTGTACCCAAGCAGCAAGCAGGAAGCCCAGGAGCGGGGTGTTTTGCAACCCTACAGCTTGAGAAAGGCTCTTTCCCACTTCTCATCGCTTCTGCTTCTGCCTGTGGCCCCCACACAGGGGAAGGGGGTTTTGTTTCCCAGACCTGGATGGCTGGGAACCCTATACTTTCCCAAGGGTCAGCCTGGGGGGAAACTGAGTCCTTAACGCTCCTCTGGGCCTCTGTGTGGAAGTCCCTGGGCCCTGAGGAGCCTGCCTCTTTGACTCCAGGGTCTTTATTGGGAATTCTAAAGTTTCTTTCCCCACCAAAGACTGTCACCATCAGGAGAGCAGGATTTCCAGGACTCCAACCCAAACTGATGGGAAGTTCCTTGAGCCCAGGGCTAGGTATAGATAGCTTCACTGTCTGGAACTTCCTGTAGAGCCTGCCCACCCCACAACCCCCGCCCCGGAGTCGGGGAGGCAGTGCAGGGGAGGTTGTTCAAATGCATCTGTGATTGATAGTGTCTAGGCGTTGATAGTATCTAGGTACAAAGGAGCTCCCGGATCCCACCCAGCACCCCCATGACGCAGAGCTGTCATCATCACCATGGCACAGGTGGGCGGTCTGGGCACAGAGAAGTTAAATAACTCGCCAAGACCACACAGCTAGAAAATGATGGAACCAGGATCTGAACTCAGGTCTGTGACTCCAAAAGCTGTGTTCCTCCCTTCGGGGTTTTCCGTCACAGACATCTGCCTCCACATGGGAGAACGCACTTCTCCAACACCCCCTTCCCATGTTCATGGCTGATTATCCACCCCGCGGACCCACCATTGGCCCGTGTCTTTCTGCCAGAATCTTCCTTCTCTTGGGCTTCCTCAGCATTGCTACACCCCGCCAAAAAAAGATGGAGCTGTTTGGGAGAACCCATGCACCCCGAATGGGTAGGGACTTAGGAGGCCGCAGCTTGATCAGAAGGGGCGCATGACCAGAGGAATGGCCTGGAAGCCGCATTTGCGAGCACACTCACCTTCTAGAGAGGCTTTTTGGGGTGTTAGTTTGACAAGGTTTCCTCTGATGAAGTTTGGGGGGAGCTGAATGCCTTCCAACTTCCCTGCGGGCCACCTCTTGGCACCACTGCTGCTTGCTGCTTTGGAAGAGGTGGGGGTGGGGGCAGGAAGGGGCTGGGGAGCTGGACCTCTAGGGAAGGAAGTGCCGCCCGCCGGGGCCCTGGTGAGGATAGAAAGCTGCAGGTTTTGTATTCAAGGAAACAAGGCTTCACTGTGCCAGCCGAGCCTAGCCCGGCCGAGCCCCAGCTGGGAACAGCCAACACACAGGCTCTCGGGGAGGACAAAACCCCTGTTCTGCTTCTGCTGCCCTGCTGGGGCCACCACCTCCTGGGTCCAAGCAGGGCCCTGCTGAGAGACTTCCACCCTGGTCTCCGGCTCCCTCCCAGGGAGGAGGGGAGCCCAGCCTTCACCAGGCGCAGAGTACAAGAGAGAGGGAGGTCCTAGGGAACTGGGAGCTGGCCTTCCTTGGAAGGCAGGAGCTAGAAAGTCTGGTCTTCTGTCCCGGCTCTGCCCTGAATTACTTAGTAATTAATTCCCATCTGCAAAAGGAGCAGACTGTATTCAGCAATGGCCTCCTTATTTCTGAGGGGTCCTGAACCCGCCTGGATGACAGACTGCCTTCCAGGGTCTTCTGGTTCATCCGTTTAGTGTCTATCAGCAGATCCTGCCCGAGGAGGGAGATAGAAGGAGAACCAAGGGGACTGAGGGAAGCAAGACAGGCTGTCCGCCGTCACTGACCTCACCATCCAGCCGTGCAGGCTCCAGCTGGGAGAGACCTCCAGCCCTGCTCCCCATCTTACAGAGAAGGCAACTGAGACCCAGAAAGTGTGGTGACTGGCTTGGGGTCACAGGGAAGTTTTCAGTGGCCAAACCAGAGCGTCCTTGTCTGCACAGCTGAGGATGGTGGTCCCCGCTTCTCAGGTGGGGCTGGGAGGAGGTGACTCCCGTACAGCTCTGGCATCGTGCCCGGCACGTGGAGGCCCGGCCTCCGTGGAACCTGGATTCTTAGTCCTCCCTCCCCGGGTGGCCTCAGGCAGCCCCAGCACTTCTAACCTCTCTCCCCACCTCTCTCGGCCCATCCATTCACGGCTCTCTCTGGAAACTTCCAGCCAAAGGGGGAATGGTGTGACCCACAGAGCCTCAAGGGGGCCCACCTCTGGGCTGGCAGCAGCCTGTGTGAGGCCCTGTGGGGTTTTGTAAGTTGAGCCCAGCCCGAGAGGTCGGCAGCCACGTAATTCTGAACCTGCCGTGGAATCTGAGGAAGATGCCCTAGTTCCCTGCTTGGCCAGCCTCGTCCCCAGACACTATATCTCATGACCCCTTGCGTCAGAGAGGCAGGCTTCCCTCTCCTTCTGGATGCCTCTGCCCTTCACTCTTCTCCATTTGCTCCTCCTTCCACGTGTCTCCTCAGACCCCGTCCCTCACAGAAGCTCCTCTAGTATCCTTTCTGGAAGACAGCAGGACACAGTAATTAAGAGCAGCAGTCTGTGGGTTTGGAGTCTGTGGGTTTGAATCCCAAGGCCCTTAAACCTTCTGGGCCTCAGTTCCTCACCCTAAAATAGGCAGAGTAATAGCACCCACCTCACAGAGCTGTTGTGAAGTACTTAACCCAGTGCTCAGCACAAAGGGAGTATACTGTGAAGTTCCTGTCCCCTCATCCCTGGGCCTGGTGGTGGTCCTCTAGGCTGGCACGGAGGGTGTTCCACAGACGCTCCTGGCTGCCTCCACTTACCTCTACAGAGCTGCCCGGCTGGCCAAGGCCTCATGCTTTGGGCCCCACGGTTGGGGAGCCAGCATGAGAACCCCCCTTTTCTCCTGCTGAACAGGCACTCTGGTTGACAGCTACATATGGCTCTGATAAATAACAAAAATGAGGAACAAATTCATTATCACTTAATTACGTGGAAGGCAGGTGGCAGAAAAAAGGAAAGAGCAAACGACAGCTCACGTCCGCCGCGGGGCAGCCGGGCGACTCCAGGCAGAGTGTTCAGCTTTGCAGGCTCACCCGGGGCTAAAGACCTTCCCTGGTTAGGTCTGAGGATTCAGTTTAAAGAGTCCTGGCCCTTTGTAAAGTGTCCACCATCATGTCCGGCCTGTGGGCTGTTAAAAACATAGATGCTTTTGAAAAAACATAAAATCTATCCATTTGATCATTTATCCAACACATACTAAGTTTCTGCTGTGTGCAAGTTCTAGAGAATCAAGGGAAGAAGGAAGCTCCCGCCCTCGGGGAGCTTAAAGTCTCATGAAAAGCAGTGGTATAGAGGGGTCTCTGGGGGTAGAGAGGATGGGCCCATGCGGCTAGAAGTGGAAATTTCCATTTCTTTATCTCGACCATGAGGACTGAACGCACTCACGAGGGATGCCGTGATGATGCATCCTCCTCAGCCAGCCCCCTGCCTCCACACCCTCTCCTCGTTAAGTGGGACCCCCAGGTCCAGTTGCTCACAGCAGCGCAGTGAGGTGGGTAAATCATGACCCCCATTGGCCAGACAAAGAAATTGAGGCTCAAGGAGGTTGAGTCATGCACCCAAGGTTAT